GGCCGGCAGCAGATATCGGAAGTAATCTTCTTTGATCCTCTTTGACAGGATTTTGGTTGAGAAGCATTCCGAGGGAACATGATATAAACACGGCATGATGCATTTCCAGCCAATAATTCAATTCAGTTAAAATGATTCATTGATACGTGGTAGCACTGTACTAGTGTCACAGGTCTTGAAAACTTGGTGCCAGTGACGTTGCACAGTAGATCTATCTTTTTGATCTGGTTACTCAACGGAAATGTTTTCATTCACTAATAGATTCACAAAAATGAGGAGTAGGCAGATAAAGGCAATGAAAAGGAGAGACAGGGGCAATCCACACAGAGATAGTGGGAGAAAGGTTTTAGTGTCTTTCCAGGAGAACGGTAATTCAGGTTTAACCGCATGATGGCATAACTGCTGTTTAACTGCTCTGCGTGCTACAACTCTGCATCGGTGTTATGTGGAAAAAGAACTCGGCCTCAACACACATCAACGACACATTCACTCAGTGTTTGCGTGTGTTTAAATACATAAATGTTTATGCATACATACTGTGTGTGCCCGAGCCAAACAAACTACTCTGATACATCAAAACACACATTATTTCCTCGGAGCTGCAGCTGAACCTGCCTCCATGCATGTGAATGCCCATCTGTGTCTCAGTGACAGTGAGCAACAAAGAGGTGAACGTTCTTTTGTCCTACAGTATCACATTTCTGTTTGCCTTTTACATCGAAACACAAATAGGAAAATATACGTGCCACCAATAAACCTAAATCGTCACTGTCTCAGTGATCCGGTGCAACTGCCCTGCAAAACTCATTTTACTGGAGGCGATTGAAGGTGAAACAGAATTAAAAAGGAAGCGTGTATATATGCAGATTTCTACCAACCTACAGTCATTAAAGAGATTATTAACTGCTGATAGTTTGATCATCGCTCTATTTAGGTTTTTCCTGTGGTTTCTCGTGGCTGCAGTTCCTTAAAATCGATCTTTCATAATCTATGTAATCACAACATTTATTGGAATCGCTGAGCTCTAGATTTTCTATTTCTGGTAACTCACTTTATTATCCGTCATCGTGGTGTCTCGCAAAACACACAACGTGGCCATCACTGGATCAGCGCTAACGGTGACATTTCTTACAAAGGCACCAAGAACGAAAGTAAACAAGTCAGGAGCGCAAACAGAACCTCGACAGAAAGGTACTCGCCAGTAACAAGCTGTCAGACCTATTGAGACCTTTCTGCTCTGACCTTTCACCCCGATCCTGTGTTCTGGAGAATGGTATGGATGATGACAGAGGCTAGGTGGAGAGGTCAGAGGTTAGAGACCGGGGTGTAATGTCAAACACTTGGGTGCTTTTCTATTAGGCTCACTTATGCTTCCTCGCGTCCTCTCTCCTGACCTGCACCTAGAGGAGCAAGGAGCTTTCGGGAGGAGCTTAGAGCGAGGAAACACAGGTGTATCCTACACAGAAGTCTTTTATCAAGCGGCGAGAAATGGAAATGCCGCACCTCCACATGTGGCACATAGTTTAATGCAACTACAGCAGCTTAAGACTACGCTCTGGAGTCAAGTATTTTTCATTTGACATAATGGGCTCCACCATCCTCACGTCTTTTCCTCGCACCTCTCTCTCTCACTTCCTCGCCGCGAGGAGATAAGATGCGAGGAAAAGACAAGATGGGGGGAAGCAAGGAGATGCGTGAGCATAATGAAAGGTGGAGGGGATAAAGTTGGACCTTAACTGGGGTAAGTCTTCAAATCTACATTTATCATGGTAAATAATTCCGTATGGCAAAAGTAATCAGGACTATACCTAATATAATGATTTCTATGTGGATTACTATACAAATATCCCACTTTTATGCAGAAACTTTGCCCACATTCTACAGTAAAACAAGATAAGACATGTAGTTCCGTTTAAAATCACAGCTAAATCCCAGGTAAATGTCTGTTATTATCATTAGAATAAGACATTGCATTACTGGATAGCATTAGGCATAATAACAAACTGTTCCTTGCACTCCGCACAGACACACACAGGCTATTAATAAATCACACAGTATGTAAATATAGCCCACTCTGCAGAGGGAACAAAGGGGGCATAAACAGTCAGCGGTGCTTTCATTATTTTAGTTTTTGCACCATGAAGGATTTTCAAGCAAAGTACTTGAATAGGCAGCAGAGCATATAGGGTTTGCAGTCCCACTGCTTACACATAGCAGCATACCCCGGGGCTAAGGTGTTGTTACTGATACCAGCCTGGCCAATGCTTATAAATGGCAAGAGGGCAAGTTCTCCACTGATGACAGTAAAAAAAGGGGAAAGTGGTGCATTGTGGTCTAACCCATTTCTTAAATGGTACCAGTGGTACCAGTGTCCCCAATAGAGACATTTCAGTGCTATTTTATGTTATTTTATCTTTCCATTATTCCTTATGTTTTGTGAAAGTCGTGGACTGGGAAATATAACCATGTGGAAATGTTTTGGATGTCTATTTTGTTCTTAAAAGTTTGATGTGTGCTCGTGGATGACTATTCAGATTCATAGTAACAATATCATGAGCTGGAGACAAAAGCTTGACAAATGATGCCTTTTGATTTGTGATGCTGCAGCCTGTAGTCAGGTTTTAGGCTACATGGCTGTATAAGCACACACGTCTCTCGTCTGCAATGCAGAGATTGTTAAATAAATATTTTTTGCAATGATTTGGCAACATGTAATGGACAAGTGCGAGACAGTGTTGTATTTATTCTCCTGAGGACAAATAATAAGTTGGCTACTGTTCATTTTAAACTTAATGCATCACGAGACTTTCTATGCAAATCGGGAAATACTGACTTCAAATTAGTGCTCGCGGGTTTCCAGAGTTACTGGTGTAGTAGCAGAAGTTACATTTCAGTGTCGGAGGTAAAATATCACTTACCCGCTCTGAAGGTCAGACAGAACGAAGTAAAGAAGTCAGGTTGCGGAAAAGTGCGTGCCTACTTCTCTCGTGCGCTCTGATCATACCAAACCTAGCCGGGCACTGTCGGAAGGAAAAGGGTCGCGTTTAAGAAGATAAAAGAGTTTCAAGTGTCTCTGTATTTACACAGACTGCTCCAGCGTGTACCACCACTGGCACTAATTTGTTTTCGTTTAGTCCGTCGAGATGTTGTCACAACTAGGAGCGTCTCTGGTCACCTGTACCACCACCAATAGCAAGGCGCAGATGGGTTTGTGGGAAATGTAGTTTCCCCTCATATCTTCCACAGACTGGTATTTTGAGGCGATGACGTGAGGCCTGTTGACTGCATAGGTTTTATGAGGTCCTCTAACTTTAGCCGAAGACTTCCAGAAGTACCAACACGACTATAGAGAGGCAACTTCCATCTTTATCGGTTTTTTTTACCGCCTGCAATGGAGACGCTTCTTCTATTCCTGTTTCATATTCATAACGCATTTAGTTTAGGCTTAATTACCTTTCACTGTAATGAATCAGTGTTAGATGAAGGGATTGTGGTATACCCTGTGCAATACAATTTGGTCCAATACTTTTTCATTATTAATCTTAACTTGTTTTTAGTGGAGATTGTTTTAGACACGTGGCATTGTATATTTTTAGTTTATAGTTTGTGAATTTATGTATTATTGCACAGGTGTCTAATAATACATAACAGGTCATATTATGTTAATCTTAGGAACCACATACTGTTGACACACGTTTAAATTCACATTTCTGTCAGTTTTATAATGTGGTTCATTTGACAATTCACAGCAGGCATGTGTGTATCCAAGTGATTATAAAGACCGCCTATTGTCTGACTGAACATGGCATGTTCACTTGTATAAGTGCCCGAACAGCAGGAGAACTTTATATATATATATAT